TAGAGGAGAGGAAACTCAGAGACTAGTTGGAGAGACCGACCGAGAGACGACATGGTGAGTCGGTGAGAGGTTGAGAGCTGAAGGGAAGCATCGATTCATAGTGATCCGTGGAGATGAGGGCAGAGTTTGAGCAAGAGTGTGGCAAGGGACTAGAGGAGAGGAGACTCAGAGACTGACTGGAGAGGAGAGACCGACGCCGACCGAGAGAGGAATGAGGAATCCCAATTCCCAAATTCGCAATTTACAATTGCAAGAAGCGGCAAGCAAAAGAGAGATTGAGTGAAATGTCCTCCTGCTAGGGTTATATGTAAATCGAGCCTGTAAATTGGGCTGTAAATTGGGGCTGGGCAATTAGGTTTAGAATTATTAGATTTACAAAAAAAATTGGGTTGGGCTGAGAATTGGGTTTGAAAAAATTGATAAAAAAATGGGTTGTGAAATTTAAGTTATGTTAGTATCAGGTTAACTAATTAAATTGGATAAGTAAAAATTAATTGCTAATATATATATAAAAAATATATATAAACAAATTTATATATTTTTTTTATTTTATATGGATCCCCACGGTTCCCCACGGGGTGAAGAAAATTCCCCGCGAAATTTCACGGGTAAAAAATTACCTCCATCCCTGCCCTACGGATAAGAATATTCTGAGAATCCCCATCCCGTGACGGGTATCTCCGCGAACCTCCACAGGTCACGGAGAAAATTGCCATCCTTAATTAAAACTAATACGAATTACTCTTGTATTATAATGTCTTAAAATAAAAAATGCCCTTACACTTCATAAAATTATCAATTATAGCATCTAAGGTTTTGTCAAAGTTAGTTTTTAGGGCTGAACTGAAAATTTTGTGAAATTTAGGGATTTTTCTAAACAACTAAAATATTTTATTAAGTCTTTAGAATTTTTTTTCTTATGCATTGCGGGAATAAAAACTGGCGCGAATACGGGACCCGTTATGGGGCTTTGGAGACCCGAGAACCCAAAACAAATTGACCCGACAAAGACCAGGATCCGGTGCGGGTGGGATTATCTGCATCTCCGTCTCTTCCACCGTGCTCTGTGGTCTGTACACAGTCATTCACCAGAAATCGTGCATAAGCAGAGAGAGTAAGATGGAGGACAAAATACCCTTCAAGAATTTGCATAGCAGAGAGTATCAAGGTCACAAAAAGAAGGTCTTTCTTCATCTCTGATTGTCTCTCTCACTTTCCCAAACCCTATTTCTGGATTTCTTTTTCTGTTGATTAATTCTCTTTGATTTGGGTATCCGCACCGCAGGTGCACTCAGTCGCTTGGAATTGCACGGGCAACAAGCTGGCTTCTGGTTCCGTTGATCAAACTGCTCGAGTTTGGCACATTGAGCCTCATGGTCATGTAAAGTCTCTTTCTTTCTTATTTTTAATTTAAAATTATATGTAATCAAATCTATTGTTTTCTCAATATCAAGTTTGCTTTTACCTTTCTATAATGAGAAATAAACCATCTTTCGAATTTGGATGGTATGAAATGTGGGTATTATTTATAAGTGGCCTATTTGGTTTTGTCTTTTATATGGTGCTTCATCTTGTTCTCGTGTGTGGGTTTGAGGATACATGTCCTACTAGAGTTATCAGTAACATTAAAATTGTAGCAGATGAACTGTGTTGAAAGGACTCCTTTTGGGTTCTTTTTTAGTTGAAGTACTGTTATATTGTATGTGCATTGTTTGTGGCGGCATGAATTATCTACTGTTTTTACGTTTTAGAATGCAGAAATACTCGTTTTCAGTTGGTCATAACGTTTTATTATTTGGTAATGTCTGGTTCAGGGCAAGGCTAAAGATATTGAATTGAAGGGTCATACAGATAGTGTGGATCAATTGTGTTGGGACCCAAAACATGCTGATTTGATTGCCACTGCATCGGGTGACAAGACTGTTCGTTTGTGGGATGCTCGTAGTAAGTGATTGATCTCTTTGAGAGATTGACCAACGGTCTATTTTCTATCCTCATTGTTTATGAAAATAGTGGCATTCTCTCTCACTTTTTGAGAAGAAATAACTTAGAATCAATGATATGTTAATGTCTGCAAGTTTTCTGTGAATCATAGTTAGACAGAATGCTAACAATGTTGAAATTCAAGTTGATCTTCATCACCTAACAATGAATCACCTGCCTTGGATTCTGCAGGTGGAAAATGTTCTCAGCAGGCAGAACTGAGTGGGGAGAATATAAACATCACTTATAAACCAGATGGGACACACATAGCTGTTGGTAATAGGGTATGTCTGCAGCCTTTAGCTGTTCTCAACAGTTTTTGTGGCGTCATTTCACCATTGGCTATTTTATCAATTCTTAGTTTACTAATAAAATTTTTGGCCATTGTTGTTGCAGGATGATGAGTTAACAATACTGGATGTTCGGAAATTTAAGCCAATTCATAAGCGCAAGTTCAATTATGAGGTAACATTCAATGCAAACTAACAATGCATTGAAGATGAGGATTTAAGAAATTAAGCTTGTTTTCAAAAATTTAATTTTTTTTTTCACCTAAAAAACACTACCAAAACCCTTGGAAAGTAGTACAAACCAAATTTAAATGAGCATTCACGTAGCACATAACATAACAAGAAAGTTAATGCTAAATGCTGTCATTATAATCAGCAAGTTAATGCAGAATGTTGTCATTCTCTTTAGATTAATAATTTTTCTACTTAAATTCTCTTTTGGGTTGATAGTTCCTAATATCTTCATCTTTTTCACAGGTAAATGAAATTGCTTGGAACATGACAGGAAATATGTTCTTTTTGACAACTGGAAATGGTTTGTACATTTTCTAGTTCTTTTACTCAAGTGAAATTGCATCCTTCTCCATCTACTAGCGTCTGCTGATTGTTATTTTTCTCAGGTACTGTTGAAGTGCTAGCATACCCATCTCTTCAAGCAGTTGATACCCTCATGGCTCATACAGCAGGTTGCTACTGCATTGCAATTGACCCAACAGGAAGGTGTGGTTTAAAGTCTGTCTTAATTCTTTATGGTTTCTTGTTGTTCACATTGCTGGGTACACATGTCTCCATGTATAATGCCCGGATGTATGAGTAGAATATGTTACTTATTTTGTGAAAACCTCATATAAATAAGGTCAAACTTTTGTATCATTGTGTTACAAATATAGGATGTTTACATTTTTTAAGTTTCTATATGAAAGATATCTTTGCAGGAGAATTGATGTTTCCAACAAATATTTTAATCTGCACCTTCTTAATTCTTATTATGACAGGTACTTTGCTGTTGGGAGTGCTGATTCCTTAGTCAGCCTTTGGGATATATCAGAGATGCTTTGTGTGCGGACATTTACAAAGCTTGAGTGAGTTTGTACTTCTATTCTTTCAATTAAATTAGTTTAGCTGGTTTATTATGAACTTCACATTTCGGAATTTGGACTTCAATCTTGTATGGTATTGGCATGAGATAATAATTTGGTGATCATGCAGATGGCCTGTCAGGACAATAAGCTTCAATTACACAGGAGACTATATTGCTTCTGCCAGCGAGGACCTATTTATTGATATAGTATGTATCATTACCTTAGATTCTTAGTTGATGCTGCTTTTCTTTTAATGAAACTGAATTTTAAGAGTGAAGATGCTAACAAATCTAATTTATAAAGGCTTTGTTATTTGAATTAGAAACTTATATGAAAGATATGTTTACTAATTTCATTCATGCTTCTGCAACAGTCAAATGTTCAAACTGGACGAACCGTGCATCAAATTCCATGCCGGGCTGCCATGAATAGTGTGGAATGGAATCCAAAATACAATTTGCTTGCATATGCTGGGGATGACAAGAACAAATATTCAGCTGATGAAGGTGAGTACAAGAGGCAGTTATGTAGCTCTCTCTCTTATTCATGCTTTTACAATCTACTTGTTTTTTGCAGGTGTGTTTCGAATATTTGGCTTTGAAAGCAGTTAAGCAATGTTGCTCTTATTCATGCTTTTACAATCTACTTGTTTTTTGCAGGTGTGTTTCGAATATTTGGCTTTGAAAGCAGTTAAGCAATGTTGCTCTTATTCATATTTCTCCTGCAGGCTTGTTAACTTGTGGTAGTAGACTCGATTTTTCTTTTCCTTTAATTTTAATCTTTTATTTTCTGAGCTTGTTCCTTTTGATTTCCTCCATTTGTATTGGTATTGTATTTTATACTCTAGTCAAGGAAATGACATCTCTTTCCCCTTATTTTAACATATATATATACACACACACACACACACCTTCCACATGTTAAAGAAAAAATTTGCTGAGAATTTAATGATTAAAGATATATATGCTTAAATTCGCTTACAGCAAGAAATTGCGAGCACACAAGAAGTGTTGTTTATTGAGCATGAAGAAACAAGGTTGGTCTGACCTGCTTGAACTTATTATAACAATAGCAGGAGCAAATAAATTCCAAATTCAGGGTCTAGAATTCTTGGCAAAAATCCATTTTAGATGTAAGCAGTCTGGCTGGGGTGAAAATGAAGTTAATCAGGGGCTCATAAAAGCTAAGAGATCCAGAGGTTGTTGGTTCTCAATCTTATCATGTAAGGTGTCGAAGGAACTGTTGTCAACATCAAAAGAACTCCCCCAAATTCCAAAAGATGATCTGATGATGGAATTCAGAGGCACTTCAATCCTTCGTTAGACCTCCAAAAAGGTGGCACATTTATATTCGGACCAAGATGCTTCATCCCCAACTCAAGAGTCGGCAGCAGCAAGTCTCAGGAAAAGATGGTGCCTGAGATTCTGTTAAACTAAAATAAAAGAAATTGGACTTTAGAAGCAAGTAGTAGTGTTTGCATTTCTCTAATATGTAGGGTAGTTGGATTAACCTTTCACTTAGGTTAAGGAATTGAAATGGTTGTGCATGACAATGTGAGAACCTGCAAAGATAAATAGATAATAATTTCTTAATTTAAAAACAAAGATCAAGAAAGGGTTGGAATGAAAACAAGTCAGCATTAATGATATATATAATAATGTACCTTCCAACTCCACACACATGCCGCAAATGCCAAATCTCTCCATGAAATCAGAATCCACAGAGAATGAACTTGGAAGCAGCAAAAGCCAAACCTGAGAAACAAACAAGACAGACAGTAATCAGGTTCTGAGAACACCAAGTCAGAGGCTTCCACTTGATTTCCACGCTGGAGCTCTTGATCCTCTTCCCTGTCCGTGGTTCCTTATTCAGATCAAAGCTTGCCCCTTTCATCCTCAATTCTTGAATACACCGGGTAAGTGCCCGATTGCCAACCTTCTCCCTCTGCAACTGATTCCATACTTTCCAGTACCTGTAAAGCTTTACCTGAACCAAAAATGAAAGAACAAGCGAAGTGGAGACGGATACAAGAGAGGGTATCCACCATTTTTGACAAGTGTGGTGCTCCTTGGTACCAACAGAGGAGGTGAACAAGATGGTGAAGAAAAACCCATGAAAGGTTAAAAAGAAGCAACAGATTTGGAAGATCTCTCTTTTAATGGAATCCATTCTGGTTTCCTTGAGGGATATCCTGCGCCCAAAGAGATCTTCCTCTCGTTGCCATAATTTTAAAAGCAGGAGATGACCGGGGCTCTGAGAGATCTCCATGAGTGGATGGTGTTGGATTGCACACGAGAGCTTCTGTTTGTGCTCTTCGTCTACAGGGATTTCGACAACATGGGCATCTTTCATATCAGCCATTATAGAAAAAAACACACACAAGAGATTGAATTGAAGCTGTAAAATTAAACAAGACGGATTGAATTAGGCGCTGGATTGCCAAAACAGAGACTTTCGCATATTTAAATTGTTGGGGAAACGCCTGAGGGCCGAGGGTCCCAACGGTTATATTTCTTTTCCCAACGGTCAGATTTTCCATTCGGTTTATTTATATTTCAACAACGGTCGACTTCCTCCATTTCTCCTTGGGCTGAGAACTTGAGCCCAAAAGTGGAAGCGAGGCAGCCCAGTTTTCAGATCGCAGGCTTATTTGAGTAGGCAGGTCTGATAAAATAAAGGTTAAGGAGAAGCTACACATTTATATTTTTAAGTTAAATGTCAATTTTGATCTTTCAATTTTAAGATTTTGTATAGTTTTTATTTTTTAATTTTTTTAATGTATTTTTTTAATCTTTTAACTATAAAAAATATTTTTTTTTACTCTTTCGATCAATTAATCTATTAAATCTATTTGAATTTACACATTTTAATCATTTAGCTGTTAATATATACATATTTTTTATCTCTTAACTTAAAATCAGGGGATTAAAATTATATATATTTAGATAAATTTAACAAATTAAATGATAAAAAAATTAAAAATATATATTTTTCATAATTAAAAGATTAAAAAATATATAATAATAATTAAAAAATAAAAATTATATAAAATTTTAAAGTTAAAAAACCAAATTTACACTTAACCATATTTTTAGCCATCACATCAAATCAAAACTTTTTACGCCTTTTGCAATCTGTCTGAGACATCCTATTCCTATCCCACTGGGTTTCCCTTTCCCCACCACTGGTTCTCTCCCCAACCCCAACTGGGGGAGCACTTATTTGAGATTTGGTCCAAATAAGAATTTAATCTTTTAAAAAGTTTTGATCGAAAATATTACCTTTATTATTATTTTTTAAATTAAGACCACTATTTTTTGCACCGGACTCAAGTGACTTTTGGACATCTTGAGGTGCACCTTCCTCTTATGGTAGTATTATTAAAAAACAAAATCACTACTTTTTAAAAGTTTTTAATTAAAAATATGATTTTTTGATATTTTTAAAAAGAAATTAATTAAATGTGTAATATCATATCTTTTATTAGAAACTTTTAAAAGATGATAGTTTTGACTAGTAAAATTATAAGAATTATATCCTTAATTAGAAATTTATGAAGGGTAATAGTCTTAATTAATTAAT